TAAAAATGTGCATATACAAGGACTATTTTCAACGGGCAGAATACAAATAGGTCTGCTTATGCCCCACACATCATCAAACAATTGCTTTTTCCTAATACATGTTCTACTGGAGAAAGGCACACAATTCTAGTCCATTCATTAGATATTCCAGATGACTCACTCCAGTCTCAAAACTTCTGAAATGAATCTGACATTTATGGGCAATTACCCATGTAAATATACAGTATTTACATATATATATATATTTGTATAATTTAACTTTAGTTACCATGTGTTGAGCATTCTGATTAGAACCAGCATCTTCCTTTTGATGCATGCAGTCACTTCCTCTGTTTTTAATATGAAGATAGCAAAAATCTCCTGAAGTTTCCAGGAAAAATACATCCACATGAACAGAAAAAAAAACCATCAGTTGGTTTTGTCATTAAATGATTTTTCTTTGTGCTCCCACATCTATATCTACCTTTTATAATTGCATGCTTTCCCCAAACTTTATTACTCCTACATGAATATGTATGCGTGTCTTTCATGGGGATACTGTCCCAGCTAAGGTTCCAGACATTCATCATGGCTGTTAAGAAATTTCCATTGGACTAAACTCAGTCCTTGTACTGGTCTGCAGAGGCTGCCATTAGAAAGCAACACTGACTGGTGGCTTAAACAACAGACATTTATTTTCTCCTAGTTTTGGAGGCTGGAAGTCTGAGATCAAGATGTCCGCAGGGTTGGTTCCTTCTGAGGGCAAGTTCTGTTCAGGCCTCTTGTCTTGTAGAAGGCCATGTTTTCTCTGTTGTTGCCTCATCTTTCTGTCGGTAGCTTTGTTCAAATCTTCCCATGCTTATAAAGACACCAGGCATATTGGATTGGAGCTCACTCTAATGGCCTCAGCCTATGTTAATTACCTCACCAGAGACCCTAACTCCAAACACTGTCTGTTACATTCTGAGGTGCTGGGGGTTAGCATTTCAGTTCATGATTTCTAGGCTAGGCTCTTGTTACAGGGGACTAGCAGGTAATCTCTGAATAGGACAAGAAACATTTGACAACACTAAGGAATTATTTTTCCTTCCTGGTAAAGCACAAAGCTAGTAGATTATCTCTTGCTCTTAAACATGGTTGGTACCGTCTTTATGCACTTCTTAAAACACAATTGCAAATGAATAAAATCTATACATTGCTGTTTAAAACCCCTTTCTTTAGGAATCAACTTGATTCTGGTTTTGGTTTGTACAAGAGATGCTTTCTGCTTTGTATTTCCAAAAGCACAAGAGAAAGTAATAATTGGAATTTACCCTGGATCCCCAGCATTTTCCTCCTGAAAAGGAATATAATTCAAATAAACTTTGTCACGTAACCACACAAATAGAGCTAAAGGAAATTGCAATTGGATGCCCTTATCAATCATCAGTCATGAGATGGGATCCTGGCAACAAAGTTTATTTACTATTGTTACTAGTAATAATATCATGTCTTTTGTTATTTTTGGTATTCCTTCCATCATCATTTTTTTCTGATAGGTGAATCTGTTTGTTTGGGTTTTGTTTTTTTTTTCAGTTTCATTGAGGCATAATTGACAAGTACAAGTGTAAGAAATTTCACATGTATGATGTGATGAGTTGATCTACATGAACCTTGTGATTGGATCAACTCAGGGAGTTAATGAACATATCCATCCCCTTACACATTTACCTTTTTGTTTTTGGTGACAGCACTTACATTCTACTCTTTTAGCCAATTTTAATTATACAGTGCAGTGTATGAAGTATTGGCACCATGTTATATGTTAGATCCTTAGGCCTTATTCTTAATTTTTTAAGCAAAAGTTTGTACCCTTTTACCAACCCCTCCCTTTCTCTCTCAGCCCCCGGTTTTGGTAACCACTTTTCTCCTATGAGTTTGATTTTGTAAATTTTTTTGAGATTACACATATAAGTTTCAGTAACGATTGTATAACTGTGTTGTGTGAAAACTATAAATCCCTGGGTAAGTGCAAATATAGCAAGTCTCCAAATGATTTTGCCAGTTGTCTTCTATCTTTAGACTTTGCCTATGATGTTTACTGAGATGTGAAGAATTTTTATTTTTGAATTCTGTAACTATACGAGTCAGCCTTTTTTTAAAAAAAAATATTTTACTTGACTTTTTCCATCACCATTAACCTCTCTATGCCTCCCCTCGATAACCACACTGCTGTCTATGTCCATGAGTCCTCTCTCTTTTTTTCTCTTTTGTCCAATCCCTCCACCACCACCCCCAACTACTCCTCCCCACCATCACCAGAGCTGTCTACGTGTTTTCTATCTAGAGTCTGTCTCTATTTTGCTTAGTTCAATTTGTTCATTACATTTTACATATGAGTGAAAACATAAGGTACTTGTCTTTCTCTGACTGGCTTATTTTACTTATAACTTGTAAAGGGTAACATTTTCTTTATCTTTACAGCACAGTAGTATTCCATTATGTAAATGTACAATGGTTTTTCTGTGTTTTTTATTTTTTATTTTTATTATCCATTCATCTACTGATTGACACTTGGGCTTGCTTCCGAATATTGGTTATTGTAAATAATGTTACAATGAACATGGGGTACTTATATTCCACTAAAAGCAATGAGAAAGAGAAGGGTAAGTAATCTACCTTTTCCCCCTCATTGCTATTGTTGTGGTGGTATTGTGATGTGCATTGACTTCCGTGTAGAGAAAATGGCTTTACTGAACATGCATGATATTGTAATATTTAAAACATAAAACCAAGTTGAAAACAATATAAATATGATGTATAAGTGAGTACAGTTTGAAAAAAAAATGCAAAACCCCAAAAAGAAAATTACTGACTTTCTAAGGTTACTATGGTATGGCCAAAACCACATGTGAGTGAACCGTCCTTGAAAGGCTGAGGAGAAATAAAGGAAGTGGAAATAACAGCTATACCTTCGAGGTCCTGTGAATTAGCTAGCAGCAGAGCATGTGAAAACCATAAATCACTCTGCAAATGCAAAGTGTTGTAACTCACAGTGACAGATGAAGGTGATATCTCGAGATAGAGTCTACTCATGGTTCTACCTGTGCTGATAATGCAGTTCCTCCAAATGGAGCGAAAATAGAAATGGAGGTAAATTGCCCTCGTTCTGTGGTGTGTTTTTTGCATCCATCAAATCTATCACACAGTGGAGTACAGTGAGAGGCCCTATGCACATGAGCAAAGGAGTATTGGCTGTGAATCTTTTATCTGAATTTTACTTGGAGGGAGAAGCTGTTGTATGACTCTGTAGTCATGTCACAGCTGTACTCAGCCTGATGGTGCTCTTTCGTTTCCAGCTTTAGTCTAGAATGAGTTTTGGTCATCTTTGGAAAGAAGATCCACTTTCAGAAGATGAGAACGCCCCAATTCCACAAATGCAAAATTGTGGAGAGTTTGGAAAATAAACAATTTCTAATACCTGTGTTACATAAGTGACTTCCCCATGATGATGGCAGCCTACTTTGAATTGGACACCTATTTTTATACAAAACTTTACTTCTTTTATTTATTAAACACTCACTGAGCTTTCTGTGAGTACAAGTCAACCAAGCATACTGAATGCAAACATTTAATAATTCAGAGTTGCAACCTTGGTGCAGCTTATTCCAGTGTGCTTGTGAAAATTCGTGTGTGTATGTTCAAAAACCTCTTGCTATGTTATAGTCAGGATTCTGGACAGTAAAGCATACACAGACAGATCTGAGACTTATTGGCCCTGTTGATTTTCTAAGCCTTAATTTGAAATCTGTAAAATAAGTTATTTACTCACACATTGGTTTTGAGAGGTACACGAGGGATAAAATTAAATTCTTCACCCCAATGACAGGTACATACATAGTAAGCACTCAAGCAATAATCATATGAGATTTTGAAAGATTTTTTTGTCAGTATGTTTTTTAACTGCTCCTATTTTTGTGTTTATTTTCCTTAGTTTGAAGGAGCAACAAGATACTTATTTTCATATATGGATGTCATTTCACACAGGCTTAAAGATGCATCCCATTTGTCCCATACATGTTTAATGAGCAACCATTTCATGCAAGAAAACTTGATGTGTGTTATAATATTGAAACACCTCAAGAAACCCAAGAAGCTGAAACCAGTTTGGCTCAGTGGATAGAGCACTGACTGAAAGGTTCCAGGTTTGATTCAGGACAAGGGCATGTACCTTGGTTGTGGGCACATCCCCAGTGGGGAGTGTGCAGGAGGCAGCTGATCAATGTTTCTCTCTCATCAATGTTTCTAAGTCGCTATCCCTCTCTCTTCCTCTCTCTATATATAAAAAAAAATCAATAAAATATATTTTTAAAAAAGAAAAGAAGAAAGAAAAAGAAAGAAAAAGGAAGGAAGGAAGGAAGGAAGGAAGGAAGGAAGGAAGGAAGGAAGGAAGGGAGGGAGGGAGGGAGGGAGGGAGGGAGGGAGGGAGGGAGGGAGGGAGGGAGAGAGAGAGAGAGAGAGAGAGAGAGAGAGAGAAAGGAAGAAAGAAAGAAAGAAAGAAAGAAAGAAAGAAAGAAAGAAAGAAAGAAAGAAAGAAAGAAAGAAAGAAAGAAAGAAAGAAAGAAAGAAAGAAAGAAAGAAAGAGAGAGAAACAAACCCGAGAAATAGGTATAGGTGGCTTCGTTTCCCCAGGGGCAAAGCTGAGCCTCAGAGGAGCTGATGGGCTCACCGTCCTCCACCAGAGCTGAGACATGAACAGGTGCCTTGGAAGTCCCTGCTCTACTCGGTACAACACACCGTCTTCCCTGGAATGGGGGCCAGAAGGGGAGGGTTGGAGCGGCTGCGGCCCCTGTCGCCCACGTCACTGTGCGCTGGCTGTTGGGCCGTTGCGCCCCGCGGCCGGGGAACCTCGCGCCCCCGCGGCTCGGAGACCTCGGCTCGGTGGAGACCACAGCTCGGTGGAGACCTCGGCTCGGTGGAGACCACAGCTCGGTGGAGACCACAGCTCGGTGGAGACACAGCTCGGTGGTGACACAGCGGCGATGGCTGCGCTGTGGCGGAAGGCATATGACTACGTGAGGACCAAGGAGTTCCGGGACTACGTGACCAGCACACACTTCTGGGGTCCCCTGTTCAACTGGGGGCTGCCTCTGGCCGCCATCAAGGACATGCGGGCGACCCCGGAGATCATCAGCGGCCGCATGACCACGGCGCTCATCCTCTACTCCATGGCCTTCATGCGCTTCGCCTACCGCGTGCAGCCGCGCAACCTGCTGCTCCTGGCCTGCCACGGCACCAACGTGATGGCGCAGAGCGTGCAGGGCAGCCGCCTGGTCCTCTTCCGCTATGGCGTCCTGCCCGGGGCCCCGGGCGCCGACTCCGCCGCCCCCGCCCACGGCCAAGGCGAAGCCACCGACGCCACCGAGGGCGAGGGCGAGAGCGAGTGCGTCCCCGACCCCGACCCCGGCAGCTGCTTCTAGGCGCCCGCCGCCCCCTGCACCTGCAGGCCCAGAGGAGGCTCATAGAGGCTGAGAAGGCCCTGCCGAAGCTTTGCAGCTTGCCGGCTCTAAACTTTATTTTTCTGGAAGATGAATAAAAGTTCGGGTTTGACTCTAAGATAGTGCAAATCTCATTTAAACCTGCAGATCGGTTAATTAAAACAAAACAAAAAAGCAAAGTAGGAGAGGGAGGAAGGGGAGGAAGGAGAGAGAGAGAGAGAGAGAGAGAGAGAGAGAAGGATTTGAATATGAATTGTGTAATTGTGGTGATGGTGTTTTGTGTTTTGTGTTTTTTTTTTTTTTTTTTTTTTTTTAAGTGTGCCACTGGAACTGTAGTAGTTCCAAGAAGGCAAGAACATCTAGGGGTACTCTGTGGTCTGTAATAACTCCTCAGCAAACATTGGTTGGATAAATACCTGGGATATAAGAAGCTACATGTGATCCCCAACTCTCTGGGCAGTTGATGGAAACACCTGCACCTTGTGGAATTAAGAGACGGTAGAGAGCAGATTACGAATTAGGCCTGGGGACCTGCTGGTTGGAGGGCACTGAGCAGGGGGGAGAATGAGGAGGACTTTGCATGCATGCTCTAGCGAAGGCAAGGAGCTAGCAAGGTAGACCAGGTGGCCTGAACCACCTCTCCACGTGGCCAGAGAAAATCACCTGCAGCCCAGTTTCACGGGGGTTGACATAATCCTGTAGAGGATGGAAGGTGGGACTAAGTACAGAGAGAGGAATGTACTGGTCATTCAGAGCTTCCTTCTTTGACCCGCTGTGCTTCGATGTTGTGCGTCCACATAAGCCAGGAACGCTGGCTTTGCATTCTATTAGTACATATGCTCAGTGCCAGCTAGAAATACAGAGACATGGCCCTATGGACATGCCTTCAAAGAGACAGGGCAAGGCAGAGGTTTCCTTACCCCTGCAGAGACATCTTCTGTCCAAGGGGAAGGATTCCTTGTCATGATTGATGATGCAGTGCTTCTGAGGAAGGACTGGCTGAGGGGTCAGACCGCCAGGGACAATGCCTGGCTCAGGGGGCTGTGCTGGGCCCGGGGGCTGTTTTCACATTCACAGAGGGGCCGCTCTCCTGGCGCTGCAGGGCTCCGGGGCTGCACTTCTGAGCAGGAAAATCGGGAGAGGAAGTGTTATCTGTGAAAAGGCAGGAGGCTGCGCTGACTATGCGGAACACAAGGAGCGAAATCTTGCACACTGATTCCTTTTGATCTGTTTGCAAGATTGTGTCTTAGGGGCGTTGGCTGCCACTTAGCTGGGATATTCTGGGCTACCTGGTGGTTACAAAATAGGCTGTTACATTTATCTTTGTTATTTACATGTCTCTTCTAGCTTAATAAAAAATAAAGTCCCCCCTCCACTGTGTGTGTTCTGTCCAACTCAGCCTCACTCCTGCCTTTCACAGATGAGTTTAAGAAAATGGGACATTTGTTCACTGGATAATGCACCCTTGCAAAACAGGCCAGTCACCAGGCATGTGGAGCTTCAGTGGAAACAGTCTCCCCAGATATCTCTCCCTCCTTCACCTCCCCCTCCTCCTTCTTCTTCTCCCCGCTTCCCTTCCTCTTTCTCCTCCTCCTCCTTCTTCCTCTGCCTCTTTCTCCCCCTCAGAATCCAAAAGGACAATTTTTGTGCTTATCTTAGTTAGCCTCCTTATCGCATTGCCCGATCTTTCTTTTTTCCTCTCTTCTTTGATGTCAGGTGTCCCACACCCGTGGCTACTAGTTCCCAGTCTCCACAGGGGCTTCTTTTCTGCTCACCCTCAAATATCCGTGTGTTTTTGTTCCCTCTCTTATTCACTCCGCTTAGTTACCCAAGTTAATCCCATTTCTTCTGGCTGCTGTCTTCTTCCAAATCCCTACTTTGACTTTTGATTTATCTTCAAAATCCCCACAAAGGAACACAATATGTCCAAATTTTAGCTCACTGTTTTCTTTCACTTTAGCTGATATTCTTGTTTCCTGACTCATGCTAATATTTTCCCAGTTTTACTACACAGACCTGAGACTTTTTTTTTTTTTTTTTTTTTTTTTTTTTTTTACCCATTCGGTTCCTTTATCCGATTCATTCCCTCAGTATCCTAAAAGAAGCTTAGGAGGGGCAACTCCTTTCCAAGGCATTTTTGACTCTAAGGCTAGAAGTATCTCCCTTTTTATTGTTATCACGCAGCTTTAAACTCTTTGATGCCTTCGCCCTGCTTCAGGATAAATCCCAGCTCCTAATTCCTTTCAGAGCCCGTTCTCTCACTTTGGATCTCACGTTCTGCCTTCTGGCTGCAGTGAACTTACAGTGACCTCCCTGCACGTTACTGTGCACAGAGCCGTTGGCCTCCACAAAGCTTTCGGTGGGTTTTGGTCAGGAGCCAATGGTAGACAACTGATGGCCTCCTTTCTGAACTCTTGCTACTGTCCTCTAAGGCCACGAGGTTGGAGACTGTACCTGGCTCTCGGCTGTGGACCCTGATGGACCTAAGTTATTGTGGTCCAGAAAGTGTTTCATTGGTCTATCATGAAATAAAGTTTATTTGTGGCAACAGAATGTTTTAAAGATGAAATAGAAAACAGAATGCATCACACGTTTCTTGAAGCCTTTGTGGAAACTCACTTATTTATAAGCAATGTTAATCTCATCCTTTTTCCCAGCAATGCTTTCTCTGCTTCCTTTAGACATTGTTTCTGTTAAAAGGCCACCCCTACCAGTTGTAGCATTATTAGCCAGAAGATGAACTGAACACACAAAGGAGGGCAGGGATGGGAGAATCACAGAAAAAGGAAGACAATTGTAGGATTAAAATCTGTGATGCTTGCCATTCCTCTGAATAATGCATTACATGTCCTTGTATTGTAAGCAATAACAACTTACGTCTATTGTATGAATGTACCATTATGTGTGCATGTGTGTGTCTGTATTCCTATCTATGCAGTTTTCATTTAACAGTGCATCATCTCTATTAAAAATATGGTATTGAACATATTTTTAATATTGATTTTTGCCTGTAAGTCTATGTTAAAGCAGACATGTTCAAATTTTTTATTTTTGTGTATAAAATGACACGAGTGCATAGACATGAAAATGTAATTAATGGGTTGTGCAACTAGGCTTTAAAGGAAGGTCAAAGGAAGCTTTACAAGTTATTAGATATGTGAAACACTGCAGATGAAGAAAATGCTTGAATAATCAGTTTTGTCTTTAAAATGTCTCCTTTAAAATATGAGGGAAATATGGTTAGAAAAAAAAATTAGGACATAAAGTCTTAAAGCAAAGAAAGAAACAAAACCTGTGTCAACCAACTTATCATTACTATGAGGGTGCACCACAAACCCTTCAATTGCATCATATAAGTATGCAAGAGCTGTGATATATGGGAGTTTTATTGCAATATACGGTTATATAGTGGGGTAATCTCTTCTGTCGGTTTATCATCAGAAAGCAATTCTCTGCACACATCCTTGATGTTTTTGCACTGGCTTCCAACCCTGCTGGGAGCTTTTCCTCTCTTCAAGACTGCCACTAACTTATTAGCTGTGGCTGCAGGCCACACATTAAATGAAGTGGTTCTCTGTCAGGGGTTAAGTGTTCAAAGTTTTAGAGACAAAGAGGGTTGCAGAACTTCCTTTATGTAAATTACTGTACACTTATAAGTTTTTTGTCTAAAGTAAAAAAGAGACTCATGAAAATTGGGTATTTCATAAAGGATATAAAGATTTATGTATGAAAAGTAACATTCAGCTTATATAAATAGAGCAATACTATAAAGGAGAAGGATAATAAGATTATTTTTAAACCTTGGGAATGTTCATTAGGATTTGGAATATTAAGTATTTCATTTATGCATAATATTTCCATATATTTTCTTGTGCTTTTTCACAAAGGTAATATATACATTTTAAACCAGGGCATTTATTTCTGTGATATAGCACAATACACAATGGTTTTTTTAGTAGTTAAGAAAAAAAGAGAGACTGCATTGAAAATATTTTTAGGGGTTTCTCTGGAAACCAAAGCATGTTAGAAAGCCCCAAATATTTACAAGGAGATCTTTTCAGTCTATATTTAAACTTCTAGTAAATGTTCATTTCATGTGAATTCAGATAGTATTTTCCTCCTTCCTAACAGGTGAGCATCCCTCATAGATGCTTCCTGTGACTGCCCAGGGAAGAGCACCCTCACTGAAAAGCTAGCAGGTAGCCACACGGTGAAGGCAGTTCTCAAAGTTGTGACCATTCAAACTTCCCAAACCAAACATTTTCCCCTAATAAATCAGATTTTCTGACCCGCAGTATTAGTCCTTTAAAGTTTTGGCAATAGAAACAGATCTTGCTCTGAAATATAGAAAACTCTTCCAATGGTTGGTTGCCTTAAGGAGAGCAACCCTGTTAAAAGTCAAATTAACTCAGCCTGTGTGGTTCAGTAGTTGAGCATGGACCCAGAAACCAAGAGGTCACATATTGGATTCCTAGTCAGGGCATATGCCAGAGTTTTGGGCTCAGTCCCCAGTAGGGGGTGTGCAGGAGACAGCCAATTGATGATGTTTCTCTCTCATCCATATTTCTATCTCTTTATTCCTCTCCCTCTCTCTCTAAAAATCAAAAAGGAAAAAAAAATTAAAGAAGTAAAATTATATATGTATACAGATATACATATACACACATATGCATACACACATATGTATACACATATATTCATTTATATAATACTATTCAGTATGACATTAAACTTACAGATTTTTCTCTCTGTATAATTATGTTTCATTTTAAAAGGCCATTGCTAATTTCAGCTGGTCATAGATATTTTGGGTTAATTCCAAGTTAAATGAGCCAGTGGAGTATGAATAATATATAGATCTTATTCTTCTCCCTGTACTAATGAATACACTTTTTAATAAATAATCATTCTTTCCCATATTCCTATTTGACAAAGTGTCTGAAAAGGTAATTTAACAGGAGATATATACTGTACAATTTCTA